TGCCTTACTTTTAATCAAATTGCCAAGACCTAATGGGAAGAGTCAACCCGGCAGTGGCTTTGAATGTTTATTACAATCATTGTCTGTAGAGTGTTATTTTTTTTGTTTTGTTTTGTTTTGTTTTTTCTTTAGAGTGTTATTTTTATAGGGGGTTGAGCAAGATCTAATTCATGTGGAAGTGATAACTGGGTTTTGTTTACAGAAAGCCACAAAGAAAACTGATAGACCCAGAATGGAAGATAAAGATGATCTAGATGTAACAGAGCTCACCAATGAAGATCTGTTGGAGCAGCTTGTGAAATATGGAGTGACTCCTGGCCCTATTGTGGGTAAGTTAGTAAAATTCCAATGATCTTTTCTGTGACACATAGTACACCTCATTTTTTCTCCTTCTCCAGCAGTTAGCTTGCATTCTAAGAACCGGTCTGTCCCATATTGTTACTAATTATAAGCCCAAGACGTTGGTTTTCGTAAGAGTAAATGAAGGAAATATCATGATAGAACTGAACCAGATGAGCTTCACAATTGCGTCTTTTGTTGCAATCGTTTCTTATGCCGAGCTTATCACATTGCCTAGTATAACTGTGGTTTTGGTATTATCTATATATGACAATTAAGAAGAAATCAAAATGTAAAATAACTAGTCATTAATCATCCTCTTCAGTAAGTTAGTAACAGACATGTCAATAGAACTAGTTATTCAGTTCTTACTACCCAGTCACCTTTTTCAGTTATAAAAGGTTGTTATTGGTTGCCACTGATTTGGTTCGCCACCTTTTGCACAACAGAACGAAACACTGGAGAGTCCTTCACCGCCCTGGCCATTGTTCCTATGTCTGAGCTCATGGTTGCAGCCATTCTCTTGAGGGCCTTCCTCTTCTTCACTACTCCTCTCCCTCCTAGTTTATGAAACATGTTGTCCTTCTCCAGGGACTGGTGTTGCCTGATACATCCAAAGTATGCAAGATGAAGTTTGGCCATCCTTGCTTCTAAGGAACACTGTGGCTGTGCTTCTTCCAAGACAGATCTATTTGTCCTTTTCACAGTCCAGGGTACTTTTCAATATTCTCCAGCACCACAATTCAAATGCATCACTTCTTCTCTGGTCTTTATTCAATGTTTAACTTTCAGGTGCCTGTGAGGCAATTGAAAATACCATGGTTTGGGTCAGGCACACCGTAGTCCTCAAAGTAACATCCTTGCTTTCCATTACTCTTAAGAGGGCTTGTACAGCAGATTTACCTAATGCACATTGCCTTTTGATCTCTTGACTGCTGCTTCCATGAGCATTGGTTGTGGATTCAAGCAAGACAAAATCCTTCAACCTTTTCTCCATTTATCGTGATGTCACCTTTGATGCACTGGTAACGATTTTGGTCTGCTTTACATTAAGTTACAATCCATACTGAAGACTTTAATCCTTTATCTTCATCAGCAAGTGCTTCAAGTCCTTGCTTTCAGCAAGCAAGGTTGTGTCATCTGCACATCAAAGGTTGTTAATAAGCTTTCCTCTAATCCCGATGCCACATTCTTCATATAATCCAGCTGCTCTGATGATTTGCTCAGCATACAGCTTGAATAAGGATGGTGAAAGGATGCAGTCTAGTGTACCCTTGCTCTATTTGAACAAGTGCTTCTTGTCCATGTACAGGTTCTCATGAGCACAATGAATTGTTCTGGGATTCCCATTCTTACCAAGATTATTCATAGTTAATTATGAAGGGCGGGTGCCCATTAAAAAGTTATGTCTTGATTGGAAGAATTCAAGATAATCTAACAAAACCTATGATTGTAACAATGAAAAATTATGCCTAAATATATTGGGGTTTTTTTTTTTAGCATTTTGTTACTTTTAGGTTTAGAGTTTTGTAAGTCTTTAGTTGTATAGAATGTTGGCAATAAAATGCTTGGCTAGCTAACCAAAAAGTTGGTGATTAACAGCTGTTCCAAGGGAGAAAGATGGGACAGTCCACTTCCTTAAGATGACACCCCCTTGAAGAGGTGTGTGTGTGGGGGGGGGTACGGTTTGCTATGTTGGAAACCCTACTAGGTAGTTCTACCTTGTCTGATGGGGTTACTATGAATCCAGATTTACTCAGTGGCAACCGAGATGAGTTCTGATCAAAGTCCTATAGCATTTTGAATATGGTGGGAATTTGCTTATTGTTCTAGGTACAGTTGTCAAACAGATTTAGAGTACTGTTTTCAAGTAGATAATAATAAACCTATTAATATAAAACCTACCAACAGACATTTATTTGATAGCCCTTTAAAATCTTGAGAGATGCTAAATTGATGTTGATTTTTTTAAATACACATTTTATTGGGGGGGCTCTTAAAAATCTTATGACAATACTTCTTTTGATTGTATTAAGTACACTTGTACATATGTTGCCATTAACATTTGTAAAACATTTTCTTTCTACTTGAGCCTTTGGTATCAGCTCCTCTTTCCCCCTCCCTCATCCTTGTGAATTCTTAAACAATTATATATTACTGCTGTTATTTTGTGTTTTACACTGTCCATTGTCTCACTTCATCCACATTTCTGTTATTTGTTCCCCTGGGGGTGGGCTGTATAGCCAACCTTGTGATGGGTTGTCTCTCCCCTCTTCCCCCACCCTTGATGTTCATCTTAATACCACTTAGAAAACATTTTCTAGGTAGATATTATTCCTATTAAAATTTTATTTTTTATTTTACCCATCTTATAGACTGCAAGGAGAGACTTACGTACAATAAAACCTATCCTCTTTAATTTTAAAGTAATGTTGAAACATTAAGAATTTATTATCTGAGTGGCAAAACAGGGAGGGTAAAGGGAGAAGGGGTAGGAAAGAGGGAACCGATTGCAGGGAACTGTGTGTGACCTCCTCCCTGGGGGACAGACAACCGAAAAGTGGATGAAGGGAAACGTCGGACAGGGCAAGATATGACAAAATACCCATTTTTAAACTATTAAGGGCTCATGCGGGAGGGGGGAGCGGGGAGTGAGGGGAAAAATGAGGACCTAATGTCGGGGGTTTAAATGGAGAGAAAATGTCTTGAGAAACGATGTACAAATGTGCTTTACACAATTGATGTGTGTATGGATTGGGATAACAGTTGTATGAGCCCCTAATAAAATGTTAAAAAAAAAAAAGAAAGAAAATGTCTTGAAGAAAAAAAGAGAGATGAATGTTTAGTTAGCAAAGTTAACAGTGGAAACCTCTGGGAAGGGATGTGAGATGGAGGTGGGAATGAATGAAGATGGTTTTCATTTATCCAATGCACATTGTATTATCTTTTTTATGAGCATGAACTACTACTGTAACTTTAAATAAAAATTTAAAATGTGACTCCTAAAAAAAAAAATTTATTATCAATTTTAATTTGCTATATATCCCATAAAACTTCATTTTGATTGTGTAGTACTTATTGTCAGATATAATTTATAGAACTCCGCTTTTCCCTATTACTCAGGGGCTAGTTAGAGGTACATTATTCTCTCAAAGGTGGAATTTTGAAGGGTTCAAACTGCAGTAAACTGGCTTGAAGACCTCCTTGAGAGTTGTGAAGTTGGAGTTCTAATTCTTCAAGTATTACAATATATTTATAAAAATGATTTTCCCGGGAGGGAAAAAAGAGGAGCTGATAACCAAGGGCTCAAGTAGAAAGAAAATGCTTTTAAAATGATGATGGCAACATAGGCACAAATGTGATTAATACAGTTGATATAGGGATTGTTGTAAGAACCCCCCAATGAAATAATTTTTAAAAATGATTTTCCTATGTAAGTAAGTAAAGAGAGGGTAAAAGTCACATTGTACTAGAGAAAACAAAGTCGAAGACAGTTGGAGAACCCTCTCAATCAAAAATACTTGCTTGTACATGACTCTTCAGTAAGATCTTTGCTAATCTATATTCCTTGCTGTTAAAAGAAACATATACTAAAAATATTTTAGAAAGGAATGCATTATATTGTATTTTTCTTAAATACTTGTGTTTAGAAAAAGGAAGTATGCGTTAATGTTTGCCTTATTAAAATATAAAATGGGAATCAGGATGCTAAATCTAAAAACGGGCAAAATAATAAAGAATTACATAGCAGTAAAAGCTTCTAACACAAAATCTACTTTAATTCAGGGACAACCAGAAAACTATATGAAAAAAAGCTGCTGAAGTTAAGGGAACAAGGAACAGAATCAAGATCATCTACACCTCTGCCAACAGTTTCTTCTTCAGCAGAAAACACACGACAGAATGGAAGTAACGACTCTGACAGATACAGTGACAACGAAGAAGGTAAATTTTTAAGTGTTAAAATATGTGTAGTTTTTTTCAGACTCATTTTGGAGAGAACAGTGACTATGAAAAAGTTACTATTTTAAAATATTCAAAAGGAATATTTTGTTCAAATCATCTTTGGGGGGTGGATTCTTCTGTTGAGAATTACAGGAAACAAAGTACAAACATTTAGTTTTCCATTATCTAAAATGGCTGGTTGTCTTTATTGTTTGTAATCTTGTTTTCCTAAAAGAATAAAATATTACTATAAATTTTCCACTCATCCCCTTTGTCACCTCCACAGAAGCAACCACAATCATTGATTTGATGGTTCTTTCCAGTCTGCTTTTCCTATTTTTGCATATGCATCTATTCAATATATAGTATTATAAAAATTATTGAAATGATATGCTAAATGTTAATACTTGCTTTTCTTTATATTATGCTTTTTAAAGATCTAATCACATTATATAGGTCTGGTTTATTCCTTTTAATTAACATATACAATTGTTTCCAATGTGTGCTAGATAATTTGATTTTAAAGCAGCAGTGGACTATATTTTTAGTAGGTGACATTATTTTAAGAAAACGTGATTGATAGTTATGTACTTCTTTAGAATAGTACATGAAATAACCATTTGTGTAAATTTGTTGTAAGTAGTTTGCTGTTTTATAACCTGGTAACTCACATAACTTATTTCTAATTTCATGATTGTTTGATTTAACCCCAAATGCTTATATCTCTGTAAGGATTGTTTAACAAGACACGGTCTGCCAAATCTGTTGTTAGGAAGATGCAATGTAGAGCCTTCTCCTTCAACAGCACTAGCTTAGCAAAGAGGCAAAGAATAAGCTCAGACACAGGTAATGCTTAAACTTCCTGCCTCTTTTGCCTCTACAGGAAAGAAGAAAGAACACAAGAAAGTGAAGTCCACTAGGGAATTTGTTCCTTTTTCTGAACTTCCAACTGCTCCCTCTGGTGGATTTTTTCAGGGTATTTCTTTTCCTGAAATCTCTACCCGTCCTCCTCTGGGTAGGACTGAGCTACAGGCAGCTAAGAGAATACATACTTCCAAGGGAGACCCACCTAGGGAACCTGTTATTTCTACAACATTGTCTGGTAGGGGGCAGTTGGAGAAGTTAGCCTCTGGAGGGGATTTCTTTCTTTCCTCCAAATCTAGCCGTGATGGGGGTTTAGAGAAGAGCTGTGCATCATCTTCTCAGCATCAGCTCACTGCTTTATTGGCCTCTGCTGCAGCTTCTCCATCAAAGATGAAAGAAACCACCACTACTCACTATAAAGAAGTAGTAGAAAAGATTTGTAGGGGAGAGAAAAGTGGGATCCGCCCACTATTACATAGTGAGAGGCCCTGTATTTCAGATCAGTCCGTTATCTCCAGTGAAAGGGAAGTGTTAGAAGAGTCTGTGAGATCACAAGTCATTTCTCCACCAATGGCTCAGGCAATCCGAGATTATGTCAATTCTCTGTTGGTCCAGAGTGGGGTAGGTAGTTTGCCGGGGACTTCTCATTCTATACCCCCACTGGAAGTAGAAAACACCCGGAAGAGAATTGATCAGTCTCATTTTCAGGAAACTGAATCCTTGTCTCCACGAAAACGCACTAAGCGAAGTGAGAAGTCAGTTAAAAAGGGGGATTCAGGTTCTTCTGACACATTTCAGAATATGCCTGGAGAAGAAGCAGTGTCCTCTTTTGCTAAAACTGTCGTCGCTCACTCACTCACTACCTTAGGCACTGAAGTGTCTCAGGGGTCACAGTATGATAAAACAGAAGCCCCTGAGCTTTCTATCCCCCTGCATGAATCTATTTTAAAAGTAATTGACGAGGAATGGCAGCAAATTGACAAGCCGCTGCCTTCATTGGCATACAAATATCCAATTTCTTCTACAGAGGGACCTCAGATATTAACAGTTCCAAAAGTGGATGATGAAATCCTAGGGTTTATTTCTGAAGCCACTCCACCAACAGGTATTCAGGCAGCCTCCACTGAGACTTGTGATAAACAGTTGGATTTAGCACTTTGTCGAACATATGAAGGTGCAGCATCAGCACTGCAGATTGCAACCCATACTGCCTTTGTAGTTAAGGCTCTGCAGGCAGACATTAGTCAGGCTGCACAGATTCTTAGCTCTGATCCTACTCATTCACAACAGGCCCTTGGGATTCTGAGCAAAACATACGATGCAGCCTCATTTCTTTGTGAAGCTGCATTTGATGAAGTGAAGATGGCTGCCTATACCATGGGATCTTCCACTGTAGGTCGCCGACGTCTCTGGCTGAAGGATTGCACACTTAGTCCAGCTTCAAAGAATAAGCTAACAGTTACCCCCTTTAAAGGTGGATCATTATTTGGAGGAGAAGTACATAAAGTAATTAAAAGGCGTGGGAAAAAGCACTGATAAAAGGAGGGAATTTGGGGGCTTTTATAGCAGTTTCAAGTACCTAACATGCCAAAATACTCTTTTTTTTAAAGTATTCTTTTAAGATCTTTTTAGTTCAAAGATTGCGCTAAATTCAAAATAGCAAGCTTCTACTAGTCTCAACGAATTATAATATAAAAGTAATTACCTATATACAATTTGCCCTTTTTTTAAAAAGTTATCAAGATAGACCGGTAGAAACACATGAAAACTTTTGAGATTACACTTGTTTCTCATAAATAACTCAATTTTCTGTTTTACTTATGCTTTTACACTCTGCAAAATTAAGAAAGTTTCCAACAATTGGAAAATAATTAGAATCTTTACTGTTTTTAGTAGTACTACATGCATTCTTTTAAGATAGAACAAAATGGTTAGACTTTCAAAACGATGATTTTATTCTTTTTTTAATTCCATCTAAGTACCTTTTTAACCTCGTAGAACTTGTTCACATTTGCTCTCAATCTTACATGGGTCGACGTCACTCATTCTAGATCAGTGCAACTTAGAGTACCAGCATACAGAATATTACAGGCTCACCTTTTGGGACAGGACAGTTGGCTGGGTGGGTCTTTTTGTTTGTTTGGGGGGTTTTTTGCTTATATTGGCAGTAAAACATTTTTAAGGAAGAATTGTATTGGTTACTGTCTGGTGGGAATGCTTCATCTCGTCATAGACTGGTAGCAAATCATTTGTGGACCACACTTTGAGAAACCCTGCTCTAGGCGATAATGGATATTCCGAGGTGGCACATTGTTGGATTAGCCAGATACTGAAAAGATGAGGCTTTTTAAAAAATACTTTTCTTTCAAGGTGTATTATGGTTTGTGGATGATTAGACTTAGCAATGTAAACTGTAAAAGCAAATTTTACTAGATTAAGAGAAGCCTTAAGAGATACTATATACCATTGTCTCTGTCTATAATATAAAGCAGTGTACTATTGTCTGTTTATTTGTGTGCTTGTAAGATGAAACCATCTAAATGTAGAATTTATTTGTGTAAAACAGTATTTTTTGTTTGTTTTTTTTTCCTGGAAAGTGGTAGCCTTAAGCTTAAGCAAAAGAGAGTCCTTTGGATACGCATTATCCTTTACCATTATTTTTACACTACTCATGACCGTCTTCTCAGCTCACTGAGATGATCTTATTTGTTATTTGTCTTCTGAAATGTACATGTACACATGTACCTACTAAGTGCCGTGTGATTTAAAAAGAATGTACTACTGTAGAATAAATGCTTCTGAAAATTCAATAAAGTTGTTAAATTTGAAGTGTGTGTGGTCTCTAGAAACATGTTTTGTGTGTTTTCTTCTGGGAGTTGTAACAAGTTAGACATTTGGAGATATACAACTTTTTCCATTTCATTCTTGACACACGAGCAGCTATGGGTGAAAATACTAAATTTTGGGCTCGGTTTTCTATTTGAGAACCATGTTTTATTTAGCTTTTGGCATCCAAGTTTATAATAGATTCTTTAATCAGATATCTTACTGTATAACCAATTTCTGCCCAATTACTAATGAGAGCTTTACTTTTAAAAGTTTTCAATTCTGAGTTAAAGTAAATTTTATAATCAAGGATTATTTCAAACATAAATATATAGATATATCCTTTAATAGAAGTCTTAGGTGGTAGAGCCTGGAGTTAATAGCTCAGTCCTAACTAAATATGGAACTCTTTGAATTAACTCACTGTTCATTTTTGGGAAACATGCATTTCATTCTGGACTCTTAACTAGTAGAAGACTAGGAAGTTAGCAAGACACACTGTTAACCTCGACCACTTTTAGCACAGCAACAGTGAGTTAATGAATACCTAGTTTAAGCTTTGCTTAAGAATTAACTCCATTCCTGTCTCTTGGGTAAGAAAGTTGTCAGTTAATTTTTCAGTTATTTAGTAACAGTTTTATTATTGGTCACTCATTTTTCTTTCTTCTTTTTTTTTTTAATCACTCGTTTTTCTATTGACTTGATGGCACTGGGTTTGGTTTGGCTGTGATATGAGCCATAACATAAAACCATTGGTTTAAGATTCTTACCAGAGGTGGTTTTTTTTTTTTTTGTATTTTTAATCAAGATCTTCAAATGATGGTAAAATCTAAGACTAGGAGAATGGAATATTGAAGCCTGTAAAAAGTTATGAGTTGTTAGATTACTAAACATCATGATTTAATGAGTTTGTATATACTGCTTTCTCTTAGAAGAAGTGTTATTTTTACTATGAGGGTTAGGAAAGAAGTGATCTGTGGTTTCATTGTACTTTTCTGTAAACAAGATTCCTCTTTGTCTCTACTTCAGGTGTTCCCACATCCAAAAAAAAATAAAGGAAGATTTAAATTGCATTTAACTTTTGTCATCCTAATTTATCATTTATTGGGTTATTAGATATGAGAGTTAACATACAGTTTTTATTTCTAACATTCCTTAACAGCTTTTTCTCTTCCACATTCCAAATTTGAATGTTTCTGTTACGTAGTGTAATAACAAGACGAGAATGTTGACTGTCTGTTCTCGTATATCCATTTTTAACGTTTATGTTGTTTTTAGCAAAAAGCCACCCTGGGAACAGATGGGATTCACTCTTATGGTTAAGATCCAAGAAAAGGAAAGGAAGCTAAGGAGACAGCAGTGGTGAACTGATTTATGAGTAGAGATGGTTTTTCTCCCCCTGTGGAATAAAATAGTGGAAGAATAGCAAAGGAAATATCTTTGGGCAAATAGATCATGTTGGTCTATTGAGATAACACCTATTGATAAACTTATTTTACATTTTAATGTGCCTAAAACCAGGGTTCCAAAATAAGACTAAGATGGCTTTTTAGTTGGATGAATGCTTCAGAGAGTAATGGTTTCTCTGGTGTTGTTTCTAGACTCTAAAATAGAGCTCAAGCTTGAGAAGAGAGAACCATTAAAGGGCAGAGCACAGACTCCAGTTTCACTCAAGCAAAGAAGAGTTGAGCACAATCAGGTATTTTTAGTGTGATGATCACTGTGTACAGGTGTAAGTAATCTGACAACAGTCATCTGTGTTGTGTTTAGTCTTTGGTTAATGGAGGACACCCACCCAGATTCCACCATAGTAAACTATACTGTTCATTCCATTATTAATTAAATAGCATTAGAAATCATAATTTGTGGGGGGTTTTGTCACTGTGCTGTAGAAGTGTTTCATTTGTGTTTGATTTTGTGCTAAGCATAGTTCATAGCTAGTCCTGCCTTTCTTTTTGAAAAATATTTAAAAGGTATACAGACCTAAAAAATTATAATTTGGGGGCTCTTCCATCTTCACAATCCATACATTCATCCAGTGTGTCAAGCACCTATGCACATAAGCCGCCATGGTCATTTTCAAAGCATTCTCTTCTCCCTTGAGCCCCTGGTACCAGCTAATAAAACGTTTTTAAAGGCAGTGGGAGGATTTTCTACTTGTATCTTGGACTCTAGGTTTCCGAGTTTGCTTCTGCTTCACCTGTCTTCTGGGACTTTCCCTCAACTGAGAAACTAGTCTGGGGCTAACATTTCACACTTTTCTTGCATTACTCTAGTTGAAAATTGTGGGGAAATTCCTTTTATCATTCAGAGTGAGGCAAACACAGTTTTTCAAAAGGAAAATGTAAGAAAATAAGCACAGGCATAAAAATAGACTAGTTTACAGAGAAAAAGTGAATATCTAACACGGATTTGGCTGACACTTTACAAGACAATTTTACTTAGACTAGCTAGCAGATTTATCTATTTATTTATCTAAGTCCTCTTGGCACTGTTGGTCAAACATTGGACTAGCTGCTGCCTAAAAGGTTAGGTTGAGCCCACCAGTCAGTCACTTGGAGGGAGAAAAGATGTGACCTTTAGTAGATTGCAGCCCAGACTCGGATGAGTGTAGAGTCACGTGAGTCCGAATTGACACGATGGCAGTGAGATCCCCACCCCCCTCCGCGCCCGCCTAAAACGATTCGCAGAATAATAGTTTCACCTCTCTAAATGATTTGATGAAGAGACCAGGTTATTTCTATACATAATTTCCTACATTCAGGATTATTCCTTAAGGTGCTTTGTAATGTGTTCTTCTATACCTTTTATTTCCTATAGATTTGGAATTATTACACTTTGTTCATTTTCCAAGGCTGCCATAATAAGTGATCCCAAATTAGTGACTTAGAAAGAGCAGACATTTTTTTTTTTTTACAGATCTTGAAAGTCACAGTCTTGACAGGACCATGCTCTTGCTGAGTACTCTTGGGAGAATCTGGTCCATTCCTTTCTCGGCTTATAGTCAGATTACTCTAGTCTCTGCCTCTCTTGACACACGGTCTTCTCCATGTTATGGCTGTATCTGTTCTCTTCTTGCACAAGGACACCAGTTATATTGGATTAATGGCCATAACTTGATTACATTTGCAACAATTCTAACTAGGAATTGACAGGTGCCACATTTATAAGTGCCAAGGTTTAAGACTTCAACTTAATCATTTTGGAGGACAATCCAACCTATATAGATGGGCTAATAAGGTTGTGTGATACAATATTCTGCAGTGAAGCAACTCTCCTGTATGTGCATTCTCCATTGTGGTAGACACTAACCACTTGTAGCTGTTGAGTTTGCTGGTGTGGCCACTGTGTCGTAGAAACTGAAAATTTAATTTAAATGGCCATTTTGGGGCTATTGGCTATCATATTGAACACAGATTTAGAGGGCTGCTTAGATTGGGGTTCTGCTGCTTTGTCATGAATACATTTTAAATGGTGGTGTGTCTATATTTAAGGCATACAATGTCCTTTTTTTGATAAATTAATAATAGATTTAGATGTCATGAGTCTGATCTTTTTCCTTTTTTAAAAAATTAAATCATTTTATTGGGGGCTCATACAACTCTTACCACAATCCGTACATATATCTATTGTGTCAAGCACTCCTGTACATTTGTTTCCCTCGTCATTCTCAAAACATTTTCTACTTGAGCCCCTGGTATCAGCTCCTCATTTTTTCCCATCCCCACTCCCCCTAGCCGCCCCCCCCCAATCTGTTTTCACCACAAAGTTCCACATCACTCTTTTATTATAAAATGCTAAATTTTCTTATTCTCATTTATACGTATTAATTGAAATTCTTTTTGCAAAGAACTTTTTATGAACTACTTAGTTGCTTTGAAATGAAATTCATACAGAAGAGCCAAACTTCTTTGCTTTTGTTTGCTAATTTTCAAAATAAAACAACCAAATTCTAATGCCAAGTTGATTCCAACTCATAGTGACCCTATAGGACAGAATAGCTCTGCCCTGTGGGTTTCTAGGCTGTCTTCAAAATAGTGCCTTTCAGGTTAGCAATGAGGTTTAGCAGCCGAGTTACCCGCTCTGTGGTCCTTCAACAGTCAGTGCGTGTGAGTCGAGTGCTTGCTCGTAGCAGCCCTGTCTGTAGGAAACAGAACTGCACCACAGCACTTCCAAGGCTGTCAGTCTCGTACAGAGTGACTGGTGGGTTCGTTTACACTACTGACCTGGTGGTAAGAGTGCCTAAAATATGTATCGTGGCCACTTCTAAAGAGGACCAATATTTTAGTTAGCTTAAAATACTAAAGCTCTTTGAAATTTATGTCAATTACAGTCATTTTTTTCATGCTCTGAGTGTGCTATCTCTGTTAAGTGAAAGTTACTAAATTGGTTCCTTTTGTTTGACCCCAGTTGTCTGTGATAAGAGTCTGGGCTCTACAGTAAATACACTCAACTGCTAGCCAAGGGGTTGGGTTCTAGAGGCACTTCAGAAGAAAGACTTAGCAATCCATTCTCAAAAAAACAAACACTGGACACCCTGTGGCACATGGTTCTATTCTGACACATGGGGTGGAGGTAAGTTGTCATGAGTAGGAATCAACTTGATCACGACGGACTATTTTTGATACTTGTTTTCTGCCTTGGGAAATGTTATTTGGGGACTGCAATGTGGATTCTAGAGTTGTGAATTTTTGCTTCTAAGGCCTTTTCATTAAGTAGACCTCCAAAGAAAAACTACAAGTCATGATATTTCAAATTTAAGCTTACAGGCTGTCTAAGCTGTTAGATTTGTTTCTCAGCCTGAATAACTTTGTTCTTAAAATGATATCTTTAATTATATACATATGAAAGTTTCAAAATAATACAGATTATACTACTAATAAGGTCATTAAATGTAATTTGGATGGTGGATCTTGCTTTTGTTTTTGCAGTTTTTCTTGTTGAAATACTATGCTGAAGGTCACTTGAAATAATTTTTTTGTGTGTGCGAGAAAACCACCAGT